CCTACGTTTGGCATAAACCCCCATCCGACCCGAGCAGAAGAGAGGAAGGATTTGCTAATGGACGCCACAGCGGAGAACGTTGGTAATAAAGCCAGCGAGCTGCTGCGAACGAAGACTGAAAAATTATAGCCCTTCGCGAATTTGCGCATTCCAAGAAAGTAATATGTTGTTGGGGTTTCGGGGGGATACAAATAATTACAGTGAATGGTGGCGTCTGCCTGTGATCACAAAGGACACGTACCACCCTCCTTTCTCTCCCTTCATCTCATCCCAAAGACACACACACACACACACACATACACACACACACACACGCACACACACACAGAGAGAGAGAGAGAGAGAGAGAGAGAGAGAGAGAGAGAGAGAGAGAGAGAGAGAGAGAGAGAGAGAGAGAGACGCACACATACACGCACACAGAGACAGAGAGAGAGAGAGAGAGAGAGAGAGAGAGAGAGGGGGGGGGGGGGGAGAGAGAGAGGGGGAGAGAGAGACACGCGCACACACACGCACGCACAGAAAGAGAGAGAGAGAGAGAGAGAGAGAGAGAGAGAGAGAGAGAGAGAGAGAGAAGCACACACACACATGCGCACGCACACACACACACAGAGAGAGAGAGAGAGAGAAAGAGAGAGAGAGAGAGAGAGAGAGAGAGAGAGAGAGAGAGAGAGAGAGAGAGAGAGAGAGAGAGAGAGAGAGAGATGCTTTCTTTTCTGGTCCCAAAGTCTTGGCCAGGGTGTCGTAATCTGAAAACAACCCCTGAGACTCCGAAAAGGGGGACTGTTCTGTTTTGTTTTGTTTTGTTTTTATTTTGTTGGGGATTTTATGTTGTTGGGTTCTTTGTTTGTTGTCGTTTGTTGTTTTTTTGTTTGGTTTAATTTTTAAAAATTCAAACTAAAAAGAATAAGCAATAAAGAAAATAATGAACATGTACAACACCCCCCCCCCCCCCCAAAAGTAACTACACAACATACAAACGTCACACCCGTACGTATATCTACCGTCCTGCTGAAACCCAAATCTCTTTCACTTTCAGTAAAACTACATTGTGTATCATAGAATCAAAATAGTCAAAATCGAACATCCTTTGTCGAGGAGAAAAGAGGTTGTCTTAGACGGGTGGGCGTCTTGGGCAGGCATATTATGATAGTAATGGCATCGTGGCCTAGTGGTTAGGCTCGTAATCGTGAGGTTGCGGGATCGGGGTTCGAGCCGCGGGCCCGACGTTGTGTCCTCTGGAAAAGCACTTTACACGAATGTGTCCCTCTTTACCCAGGTGAGAATGGGAACCCAGCTATAGACAGTGAAAGATTTTGTCAAAGATGTCAAAGTGTTTGAGTGCTGAATCAGCTGCTTGCACTGCATGCTTCCCGTACGGTTTCTGAGTCAGCGAGCATGTTGACAAAGAAGGTAGGATAGATAGATAGATAGATAGACAGAGAGAGGTAGAGAGGGAGAGAGAGAGAAAGAGAGAGAGAAGGCCGGGGGATAGACAAACAGAGAGAGAGAGAGAGAGAGAGAGAGAGAGAGAGAGAGAGAGAGAGAGACAGAGACAGAGACAGAGAGAGAGACAGAGAGAGATATAGACACCACCCACACCATCACAACCAACCACCTAGTACATGCGCGTACGTCCTGTTTCGGAGCAGCGAGCATGTTGACAAAGAGGCTAAGACACCCGTGTCCACCTCCAGCAGTCATTATGTCCCTCACGGGGCTATTCACCCATCAAAAGCAGGCTCTTCCTGGATTGGCTCGCACTTATAACACTTCTACCACCCCTACCCCCACCCCTACCCCACCCCTACGTTTGGCATACACCCCCATCTGACCCGAGTCGAAGAGAGGGAGGATTTGCTAATGCACTCCACAGCAGAGAACATTTTAAATAAAGCCAGCGAGCTGCTGCTAGCGAAGACTGTGAAAAATTATAGCCCTTCGCGAAATCCCGCATTCTAAGAAAATATATGATGTTGGGTTTTCGCTGGTTATACTTTGTTTACTGTGAGTGGTGGCGTCTGCCTGTGATCACAAATAGAGACATACACCTCTTTTTCTCTCTATTCATCTCATCCCAAACACAAACACACACACTCACACAAGTCACTAGAATCTAAAGTGTAACAAACATAAAAAAGAAAAAAGAAGGAGGTGAGATCAGGACAACAGATGTTTGATAGTATAGGAAAGAAGGAGCAAATCACAACAGACCACCGTAAAAGTTTGAGTATTATATCTATAAAGAGTTCTACTTGATTTTTTTTCGCATATTTGTTAAAAGTCGACCACATATAGATCTAGATCTAGATCTAGATCTAGATTCTAGTGACTTGTTGGTGGAAGCAGATTTCATTCCAGTCAGAGTTTTCAATTTCAGTTTCAGGCTGATTGCTAGTAAGTTTGAGTAATTTCAGAAAGCCTCATAACTTCCATCGTTTGTTTGTTTTTTGTTTTTATTTTTATTTTTATTATTTTTTTTTTTAAATCTAAATCTTGTAGATCTAATATCTAGATCTAGATCTAGATTCTAGATCTACCCTTGCAGTACTAAGACATAACCTCAAAGGGGATGTATTCTAAATGGTCAACCGGTTTGTAGGAAAGATATTTTGCCATCGTATTCAGAAGAAATGAGTTCGATTCCCGAACAGAGAGGATTTTAGTTTTTTTCTCACATCTGTTTCCGGCAATTCCGTTTGTCAGCTGCTGAGACTGTGTATCCATCATTGCTTGTGTTGTGTCTGAAATGTAGAATCGAATATATAGCCTGCCTCTTAAATTATCTAAATTGTGTCGGTAAGGGTGTAAATAAATATGTATACACTTATATTACAAACAATAAATTCTACACATTTTTGTGTAAAGTGTACAAATGTACGAAGTACCCAAACGTTAAACCAGGCAGGCAGACCATAAAACAATACCCACGACACCTCATAAGACGTCATGACA